AACTTGTGTTATTGGCTTATACTTGCTAGTATCAAGAACCCCCTTGATATTGAGTCTAATCCCTCAATATCGCTATATAATATCTTACTGTATTTGCCAAACACCCTCGCTATCATACCCTTTGCATTAGTCTCATTTTGTCCCAAATGCTATTTATAGAAAGTGTCTAAATTTGCTCATTTGGCATATCTACGAAACTGAACACAATGGTGTTTGTTTCGTGTCCAAATTCACAATTTAAGGACATTCCATCTTTAATAAGTTTCGAGCTTGTCCCAGAAACTAACTCCTGGTACTAAGGGAGGCTTGGGGTGAAAGCCCAAAATGTGTGTTCCTCATAGGCGGGGGGGGAGGGGGGGTGTTGTAGGGGGTTCCAAATGTATAGTAGGGATAGTGGTTGGAATGCATATTTGACCACCTGAGATATTAATTTGGCTCTCGTTGAGTTGTGTTGTTCCTTATTTTGTATCCGGCTTGGGTCTAAACCCAAACTCCATGCTGCTTTAGTCAGTGGGGTACCCTCCTCCTTCTGTTAGGCCACTGGTATGCCAAAATTGTGCCAGACACTATTTAACACCATTTTGTATGCAAGTGTTGGATATGGGGAGCTGGTGCACTGGACCCTCGTTTTGTAATGCAACGGGTTTGGAGTTTGGTTCCAAATTTAGGTGCACTGCACCAAGTCATTAGGCCACAGTGTTTCCCCCTTGGTATCCCAGAGTAAGTGTTGCACCCAATGTTTGGGATTTAGAGGGTCCCATGATCAAGTGTTATTGTACCAAAATATGTTAAGACCTTTGAGGTTTGGTGTGCTTGGCTGCTTGTGCATGTAGGGAGTGTAGCCAAACCTTAAATCCAATTTAACCCGAAGAGGGGGATTAGGAGAAAATTCAGGAATTCGTGAATGAATTACTAACGCTCCGTTGCTCGTGTAATAAATTGTTGAAACCAAGTAGGACCAAGTAAGAATTAATATAATAGATGGGAACCTTGGCAAGAGAATTTAATTAAGGCCAAAGCCATAGTGGTTGAATAGACGAAGTAAATTACAAATTGGAAAGAAAAAATTTATGGTTTACAACTTTGTATAGATTCATCTTCCCTTTCCATACTTTAAAAGAATATTAGCTTTAGTGCTTATTCTCAAAGAGATTCATAATTGGAGTGTATGCTAGTGGTTGGTCCTAATTAAAAAAGAAATATTAAAAGTTCACAAAATCATAGAAGAAATAAAAAACAGAGAAATCAACTTGAAGAGAATGATATCTCTACTAAAACATCTTAACTTCTCACCACCCCAACCACAACTCAAGTTGTGGTAGACAACTTGCAATTGTATAGCCATACACCATACTTCTAAACATCTTGGCTCCTAAGAGTTGCAATTTGTCTCTACTAGATTTCCATCCCTACGATAGAGCAAAAGTAGTGCTGCACATATCAACTGTCAGAAGTACCTCACACCCAGAGACATTACATAGCAAACTTGAATCTTGGCCTATCTCTTCCATGAAAGGTAATGAATTTCAGGCCCACCTCGCTCTTGATAAAACTTCTTCTTATTCCAGGAATGGTTTGACAGCCAACAACAGCCTCACTTACACTGAATTAATTCAGGATCATGAGCAAGATTCGAGAGATGAGCAGGTTTTTGGTTTTTGGTGTGTGGATCAATAGCCTTGGCACAACAACATATGTGGACCAGCTCTTTGATGGCGTCTGGGACGGGTATAAGAGGAAACCGTCTTTTAAGTTTCAAGCTCTTATAGTTTTGTTTGTACTCTGTAGGTGGATCCTTCTCGAAATACTAGAAAAATTGGAGCCAGGCTCCATCAACTGGAAGGCAGCCAATAAACCTCTCATCAAGATGCCGTTTAAGAACATGGAGAACTGCAACCAAGCCCTTGATGCTGCCCGAAAGCAGGTTGTCACTGGTAAACGTTGCAGGAAGCGACATCATTCAAGGCAATCACAAGCTCATACTTTTTTTTTTTGCTGATGACTTTTAAGCCGTTTACATGTCTTTGCCAGCGTTTCTGTGGCAATTGATGCGGTATCATACCCTCCATCTGCTGAAGAACATTAAATTGAGAGGGAAGGAGGTGTCTGATTACGACATCTTGAAACGGGTCAACAATAAAGTGAAGCGATCAGGCAAAGACAGCCGTACGGAGAGTTTCAAGGCAACAAACGTTGCTGTGAGCTAATGTTTGCAAGACACAAGTGGAACTGGAACTTCCAGGACAATAGCTTACCATCTGGCATCTTCTTCCGGCTGTAGAACCACGCGTTGTAAACTGGCAGCTCGTGACCAAAGGAGTAACAGGCAAGCAAATGAACTTAGACCCATCCAAATTAATCGATATAATCTTATGAATTGCAGATGACGAGAAGAAACAAAACGCGGTGTACGTGATCAGTGTGGCCAGGAAGCTCGGTTGCAGCGTGTTCTTGCTGTGGCATGACATTGTCCGAGGTAGTTTTATTTTTCGTTTTTCCAGCGAGGGATTTCTTGTTATCTTCTTTCGCAGGTGAGACCCAAGATGGTGATGATCTTGGTAGCCACCGTGATGCTGTGCGAGAAGGCTAAAAAAAGCTGTCAGTACAGCTGCTGTTCTTGAGCTCCACAACGAGGCTTCATTATTTCGTTTCATCATTCTCTCCTCTGATTTTTTCATTGTAAAGAGGAATTCTTTGTAATACTCACGTTCGTCCTCAATTATGGGGCATTTTTTCCTTTGGTTTCTAGCTCGATTGCGCGCGCGAGTGTCTCTGCTCCAGAGTTTTATAGCGGCCAGCCAGATGGATGTGGAGCCAAGCGCATTTTTACTCCTAAATGAGGAGATGGATGTGGGGCAGCTGGACTTAACGCTTCTTAGCGTGAGTGAGGTAAGATAAAAATAAACGAGAAGAAGAAGAAGAAATGAACAGGATTCTCACCGATTGTTCCTCTCTTTCAGATGAAGAGCTTGTCATTGAAAGTATGGCTTCCTTTTGGAGCTTTTGGTAAGTGGTATGTGCAGAGGCACTCATAGTGGACGAAAGCCTGGTGACATCGCTAGAAGTTTGTAGATGGTTATCACGCTCTGTTGGTCTTGCTCAAAGCAGGGCTCCGCTATTTATTTCGACAAAAAGTATATGCTTCTCACTCACCATCTGTGACAACAAACTCACGTGAAAACTCGACTGTCTCCCTGGTGCAATTGGCTTCGTGGTACATCCAGTTGCTTCTCGTGTAGCAGACGAGATGCATCTCGGCCTCAAGATGAAGCTTGAACCGGAGCGGAACCTTGGACGCCATGCTTGCGGGCAGATGCCACACAACGACTGGAAAGTCTTCCACACTGATACTTGTGGTCCCTCCTCGCAATGGCGGCTAACCTTAAAAGCAATAAAAACATGATTTACCTTTAGGGAGCCGATGCCAGAATATGGTTTGGATGGATTATACTTCATCCCATTGTGATTCCAGCGAAGGAGTTTCCACTCAAGCTCAGTGTTCCCTGGAACTCCAACAGTGATGGACTCGTATTCCATTGGCTCTTCAAGTGATCGTCCCCACGTTTTCTTTAATTTGAGAGATAGTGGCCATAAATTAAGTTGAGCTCCAATCTCAGCATCGCAGCTCGTGGTATGTGTGCTGGAATTGCCATCGCTATCGCGGAAATCGTAGAGAACAATGTCAGAGCTCTCCATCTCACCAAGCTGTGGCTCGATCCGGAGTTTGACGCGGTACGGGTAGAATCCCAGAGCCTTGGCGCTGATGGTTACATCCTCGTCGTCCACACCCACAAAGAGGCTCCTGATCTCCAGAGCAACTTCGAAGTTGGCGCGGCTCTCCCGAACGCAGGGCAGGATCAGCATGGCAATGCCCACGAGCTGCTGGCGCTTGGGCAGTCCGTTGGGAAGATCAAGGCACAGCCGCCGGTCGAGTGGTGTTTTGTCGGCCTTTGTGTTGATTTGAATGCACCTGCATCTCCTCCGGAGAGATGTGCCACGAGCTGGCAAACTTCGAGACAATGAGCTGCCCATTGCGATTGCGGTGATAAGAGGAAGTGGAATGGGTGAATATATCCTTTAGAGAAGTCGCCGGGTTTATTTTGTCTGAATCCTGTGCTTCCATCTGTGGTATGGATAGAGGGTTCACTCAATGAATAATCTTCTTTATTCTGGGAGAAAAAGGTCGAGCTGTTGGATGGGAAATTTGTGTTGATTGCCTCCAGAAAGACGTGTCACAGGCTGGAAAAATTCTAGAAAAGCTGGCCATTGGGGTGATGAAATCGATGACCAAAGCTTCTGATCCAGATTCTGACAGTGATATGGCGGACTACATTGACGGCCACAAGATCCGATGTACGGCAATAATCACGGCTGCCAGTCGGTCTCATGCTGCCACACCTTGTAACTGGCTGCTGGGATTGCCAACTTTTGGTCCCTGTACAGGGCTCGTGGCTCCCGTCGGGACCGGTTCGAGTCCGTTCGTCAAGCCGCTAAGATCCTTCTATTTTTCTTCAGTGGATGACGAGTTGAAGTGGTGGGGAGTTTGGAGGAAGAAAGCGGAGCTCCAAACCCATGATGGGGATGGTGTGGCATGAACGGGCCACGGCTCATCAGCGACGGGTGCGTGGCCACCGCACCCAGACTTACAGTGTCCTGGTCGGGATCCGAACGAATCTTAGAGTCTAGTTTCTAAGAAATGAGTTTGTACCTGGTCACTGGAACAGAACGTATGCTTTCACCCGAGAAATCCGAAGTATACAGATTCTTCTGTCCTTTTGAATTCAAAGTCGAAGATGCCAGGACCTTTGGGATCAACCAAAAACTAGCTAAGTGGACTTGGGCGACAATAAAAATTTGCATGGACTCTTCTTCTTGGTTCACACCATCAATTTTCCTTTGCAATAGTGAGGAGAACATCATAAAAATCATTTAAACCGAGTCAAACAAAGAAAATGTCAAAGAAGGAAGAAAAGTCCACCCAAAACATTCACGCTAAGAAAAAAAACATAAGAATTACTCCGTCAAAAGAACTAAGAAAATTTGCACAAAGGATTAGCATTTCGAAAATTTATTTTTTCTTGTTGATGTTTTGAAGGAAGGCTCGAATGGCTTCATGGTGTTCGCCACCCACGACGATCATTTTCCTGTTAGCGTCCTCCCACAAAAGCCCATTTCGATCCCTGGCGTGAGCCACCACTGACTCGTAAACAGACTGATGCATTCGAATAATAGACGGATTAAAATACCATTGTTTGTGAAGAGTTGCTTACCGTGCTTGGGAAGCCTTCGTAGCAGTACGCGGGAAGATATTGCACTCTCACGCGGTCCGATTCCCACAGACGAATCTAGATTGTAGAGATCAGGCTCAGTTTCTACGAGTGAGCTTGTACCTGGTCGCAAACAGTCTCTGGAACCGAAGGAACTTTTTGAGCTACAAACGGATGAGCGTGCTGCTGGAGAAATTTGATAATCTGCAGGCCAAGAGAAACGTTATTACCAACAACAAGAAAAGCTTTGAGAGATCAGACCTGGTCTGCAGATATTCCACTCGCAAACGCGCCGTTGACACTCTCCTTTGTGATGCTCCCGACAAGAATGTTTGGAAGAACGTACTCGGTCCTGTAAAAAAGATTCACAAAATGCAGCACTAAGTTGGTAAATGCGAAATTTCTAGCATTTGCTACATACCTGCTAGCAGTTGCTTAAACAAAACAAAGCTAAAATTACTCCACTAACCTGACAAAAACATGGAGCGTCTCGATATGAAGCTTCGAAGACGTGTACGCGTAGACTCTGAAGTTCGTTTCCACCATGATAAATCCCTCCGTTTGCCATGCTGATGATTCAGACAAACTCGCTGAAAGACCAGTAGCGAGTCTCGTTGGAATGAACCATCGATCTTTCATACCCTGTGAACATTTTTCTGTTAGTTTTGTGCGTCATTAAGATCAATGACAGTACCTTTTGGAGCTGCAACACCCCGAGCATTGCGAGCTCCTCCGCGAAATTGCGTTGGCTGTTTGGAAGTGAATCCATGCTATATGGCTCGCCGACGCTGTAGAATCCAATCTCCAAAAGGAAGCGGATTAGCTCTCCAGTGTCTATTTGACGAGCCTAAAATCAAAAAGTAGAAAAGAGAAATGCTAAGAACAAACTCGCAAAACTAAAGAGTGAGACAAGAACCTCTGCATATTGAACGTACTCTCGGATCACTCTCCAAAGCTGAGAGTTCCTATCCAGCAACTGCAAGACAGATTTCGTCAGAGAAGAAACTCTTGACAGAATTCCAGTGCACTTACAAGGAACTGAAAGCCAGCTGGAGTGATTTTAGGATCCTGGCTAAAAGAAAACCAAACGAAATCCTTAAGGCAACCAAAAAAAAAAAAAAAACACAAAAGAGACGCTACCCTGAAGTAAGCAAATCGGCCTTTTGGAAGAGCTGGACGATGAATCCGTTGGTCGATGCGGATGGGCCATCCGGAGAGGCAAAGTTGACGAGCTGGAGAACAACTGACTGCAGCAGGTAGCATGCACGTAAGTAACTCGACTCGCAGAAAAAACTTTCACGCTTGAAAACCATGCCTCCCATTTTTCAGTCGCATAGTCGTCCAGCTCCTTCGCGGACGGCATCCTCACGGCGATGTCTGGAGGCAAGGGGTCCCTGGGAGTTCCTAAACTGAGAGAACAACAAGCAAGAGAGAAAGATGATGAATCAGCAAGGACGAGAGAAAGAAAGAAAGAAAGAAGTTACCCAGTAGACAATGCCAGTCGTAGTTGCTCCTGAAACTTGGGATTAACTCTGTAGTGTGTTTCTTTCTTCCTGGAAAGGATTCTCAGCGGGAAGAAGTATGGCGGGGAACGAAAGCTTACTTCTCTTCTGGAAGGAAAACTCTGAGCTGGACTAGCCTGTCCACCGCATTTTTGTGCTTGGCAACAGCGTCTCCCTTGATCCATTCCAGCAGCATCTTGTCCGGAACCGCGGCATCCAGGTAGAGCAATCGCAACACGTAGAGCTTCGCCAATGGCGGCAGCGATCTGATTGGAACCACGCTCAGACAAGAAAGAGAGCGAGCGAGAGGAAGAAAAACCTCAAGACCGCCTGGCAAGTCCATTTGCTGGCGTAGAGCGCGTCGATCCTGGCGGCGGTGAGGCAGGATGCGACCAAATCCATGAAATCGCGCGTCGCCCTCCGCACATTCGGCATCGTTGCCACACCTCCTAAAACCCTAAATCCAAGTAAGGTAAAGTAGCTTAATGACCGTCTCTTTGACCCTTTTGACGAGGTAAAAGTTGACTTATGGCACGGTCTCCGCCAAGTTTTCAGGAGATCGACCAGAAGGACAAGTCTAGTGTAATCGAAAGTATGAAAGGCTTATCGTTGCCTGTCATTTATATGGTTTCTGCCTTTTGGATCCCACTTGGCTGCTCAACGTGCAAGTGGCTGCTCTGGGGCATGATTAACGAGAAATGAGAGAAAAAGAAACACGGAGTCATACATTTCCTTGCCATAAAGTCGTATTGCTTGTGGTGATCCGTTTGCGATCATAAACGTCATGTTCTGGAATATCACAAAGGCTTAGCCGTCATAGACCCGTGAAAGAACAGAAAGAAAGAAATACAAACCTTGTAACTTAACAAAGAAAGGAGAAAGAATCGAAGCTCTTACAGGCTATCTCAGTCACGAGAGATCCCGGCGGCTATTCCACACTGCTCGTTGCTTCTTGGACCTATAAACGAGCAAGCTCTTAAGCGAACCGCTGGAAAGCGAAGAACGAACGTCCTGTAATAAAAATGGGAGGCACCGGTCTAACAAACACATGCAGTGTTTCGATATTATTAAGCCGTGTAGTTTGTTTTCACCATGACAAACCATGCTGATGCTTCGGACAAAATCGCCCAGAGGACAGTCGCAAGTCTCGTCGATCTATCATACAGTTTTCTGTTTGTTTTGGGATCAATGACAGTACCTTTTGGAGCTGCAACACCCCGAGCATTACGAGCTCTTCCGCGACAATGCGCTGGCTGTTTGGAATCCACGCTGGCTGTTTGGAATCCATGCTGTATGGCTTGCAGACGCCATATAATCCAATCTCCAAAGGGAAGCGGATTAGCTCTCCGGTGTCTATTTGACGAGCCTAAAATCGAAAGGTAGAAAAACATTGCGTTAAGAACAAGGCCGCAAAAAGTAAAGAGCGAGACAAGATCCTCTTCATGTTGAACGTACTCTCGGATCACTCTCCAAAGTTGAGAGTTCCTATCCAGCAACTGCAAGACAGATACCGTCAGAGAAGAAATTCTGAAGTGCACTTACAAGGGACTGAAAGTATCCTGGCTAAATAACGAAATCGTTCAGTTATAAGGCAACAAGGAAGAACAAAAGAGAAAAGCACCCTGAAGGTGAGTGAAGTGGCGACGAACGAAACTTACTTCTCTTATGGAAGGCAAACTCCATGGCAACAGCGTCTCCCTTGATCGATTCCAGCAGCATCTTGTTCGGAACAGATCGCAATGCGTACGGCGGCAGCGATCCTTCCAGACAAGAGAGAAAGAGGAAGAAAAACCTCAAGACTGCCTGGCAAGTCCATTTGCTGACATTCATTCGTGGAATCCTCTAACCTAGCCCGGAGGTACGGCAGCATCGATCCTGGCGGGGTGAAGCAGGATGCGACAAATTCATGAAATTGCACCGTTGCGCACCTCCAAAAACCCTAATCACGAAGAATACGCCTGGTTCTTATCTTATTACATCAAAAAATTGAAAATCGAGATTGATCACATGACATTCACAGCATGCAAAGCTTTGGAGGTTCACACTCGAGACTACTGTTTCTTAACCATCTCTCCCGCTGGACATCCCAAGGGGTTCTTCTTCGATGTCTTGTGGAACATGAGATTCCAGCATTGCTACAAGCCTTTCACTCTTGTGTGGGGCACTTCTCTGGACGAGTGATAACATAGCTCCTTCTCCAGTATGGCTACTACTGGCCATGGCTCCACTAAGACACTCTTGAGTATGTTAGGACATGTGAGAAGCGCCAAAGGTTCAACCCATGCAGCCACATTGCAAGGTTTCCCTTTTAGTGTATGACATCTCCAAGGCTGTTCTTGCTGCTCCACATCCATCTCCTCATTTAGGAGGAAAAATGCGCTTGGTGAACCATTGTCCCTGGCTGAAACACTCGCTATGATTGAGGAAGAACGTGAGTATTACAACGAATTCTTTTTTACAATGAAAAAATCACAGGAGAAAATGAAGAAACAAAATTAAGAGACCTCGTTGTGGAGCTCAAGAACAGCAGCTGTATTGGCAGCTTTCTTAGCCTTCTCGCCCAGACTCCACAGCATCACAGTGGCTGCCAAGATCATCACCATCTTGGGTCTCACCTGCGAAAGCAAATAAGAAAGAAATCCCTCGCTGGAAAACGAAAAAATAAAACTACCTCGACAATGTCATCCCACAGCAAGAACACGCTGCAACCGAGCTTCCTGGCCACACTGATCACGTACACCGCGTTTTGTTTCTTCTCGTCATCTGCAATTCATAAGATTATATCGATTCATTTGGACGGGACTAAGTTCGTTTGCTTGCCTGTTACTCCTTTGGTCACGAGCTGCCAGTTTACAACGCGTGGTTCTACAGCCCAGAGAAGATCGAGGAAGAAGATGCCAGATGATAAGCTCTTGTCCTGGAAGTTCCAGTTCCACTCAAACATTAGTTCACAGCAACGTTTGTTACCTTAAAACTCTCCATACGGCTGTCTTTGCCTGATCGCTTCACTTTATTGTTGGCCCATTTCAAGATGTCGTAGTCAGACACCTCCTTCCCTCTCAATTTAATGTTCTTCAGCAGCTGGAGGGTATGATACCGCATCAATTGCCACAGAAACGCTGACAAAGACATGTAAACGGCTTAGCAGTCATCGACACAAAAAAAAAAAAAAAAAAGAAGAAGAAAAAAAAGAAAGAAAGAAAGAAAAGGAAAAACTTACCGAGTATGAGCTTGCGATTGCCTTGAACGATGTCGCTTCCTGCAACGTTTACCAGTGACAACCTCAGCTTTCGAGCAGCATCAATGGCTTGGTTGCAGTTCTCCACCTTCTTAAACGGCATCTTGATGGGAGGTTTATTGGCTGCCTTCCAGTTGATGGAGCCTGGCTCCAATTTGTCTAGTATTTCGAGGAGGATCCACCTACAGAGTACAAACAAAACTATCAGAGCTTGAAACTTAAAAGACGGTTTCCTCTTATACCCGTCCCAGACGCCATCAAAGAGCTGGTCCACATATGTTGTTGTACCAAGGCTATTGATCCACACACGAAAAACCCGCTCATCTCTCGAATCCTGCTCATGATCCTGAATTAATTCAGCGTAAGTGAGGCTGTTGTCGGCTGTCAAACCATTCCTGGAATAAGAAGTTTTATCAAGAGCGAGGTGGGCCTGAAATTAAATACCTTTCATGAAAGAGATAGGCCAAAAAAGCAAGATTCAAGTTTGCGGAGCCGCATGTAATGTCTCTGGGTGTGAGGTACTTCCGACAGTTGATACGCTCAGCCTGAGCAAGCACTGCTTTTGCTCTATCGTATGGATCTTGGAGATCTAGCGGAGACAAATCGCAGCTCTCAGGAGCCAAGACGTTTAGAAGTACGCTGTATGCTTCCCCATCCTACAACATCAAGTTGCTCAGTTTTAAGAGTGTTTCAGTTCGGTACGAATGTTGGTCTCTACCTTAAGATCTGACGAAAAGTTAGTAATTTCTCTGGAAAACCCAGCCTTCTGCAGGTGGTAGTTGACCCATTTTAACAACACCTTTTCAGCTGGAAGACGAAGAAGCTCTTCTATATCCTGCAAACTCCAAAAACTTAGAATTTTTCATAGTTCATTTTCTATTACCTCTGTATCGTTTAGCATCTCCGCGAGCTCTGGTGCTGCTTTCAAGTTGACACCAGAAAGCAATTGAATCTGGCGACACACTGAAGCTAAAACTTAATAGTTGCAACATGATATCTACCTTTATTATTTGAGATAGCAGACCCAAGACGAGGTGAGACTGCATAGAAAAAAAAAGAAAAGGATCAGTCAAACTGTTTTTGCGCATAAAATGGAAACAGGCGTACTCTTCCAGCGATCAAATCTTCGGTTCCAATGTTGACAACCGAGCAACCAATTGCCTTTGCAGAGTTCAAGCACAGTGTCTGATTCTCGATCTTTTCCCAGGGATTGAGATTCTTTTTCATATTGAGAGCCCTCTCATCGATGGTTCCGGGAACCGCAACGTTAATCAGTTTGCTGCAAGAGCAGTGATGAATTTTTCAGCCGACAGGAAACTCACTCACCAGATCAGTATACCGTCCTGGACAGCGTCAAAGAGATCATCCGTGGACGAGTCAATCGGAAGAATGTCCCTCAAGTCAGGATCATCGGCAAGATGGCTATTAATATGATCGGCGTATGCTTTTTTCTCGGAGTCGTGCACAGTGTGAATCAATGTGGTAGTTGATCTTTTCAGGAACTCGGACGCTGGGCTCTTTTGGGGGCTGATTTTGACGCCGCTCTTTTGCATCTCCAAGTATATCTGCAGAGGCAAGAATGTTCGATTGAGAAACTTCGGAAAAGATGATTGCTTCGCTTCGTTACCGACAGAAAGGCCTCAAAATCCAAGCTGCTGCTCCTTTCTTTCACAATGGAGGCCACCTCCTCCTCTGTTAGCGGTTCTTGGATGAAAGCCAGTTTTGAAAGTCCATCTTTGAACTCTTTGGCGGTGATCACGTCGCTGCTGCTCCCCAACGATTCAAACTACGCAGGAGAAAGCTGAGAAAAAGAAAGAAAAAAGACGCTTTGCAGCGTCTTTACCTCGGATTTGAGCGAGCGAAGCTCATTCTGCGTGAATTGGCTCGCCAAGAGAGGATCGGACACCACAACGCCCCCAAAAGCAGCCATCCCCACAGCTCAGTCGCTCATCCAAGTTGGTCGCCAATTCCCTAAAAGACCGGTGGAAGGAGCCACACCAAAATCGAGCTTTCTTTTTCGTCTCTCTGCCTTCTTTGCACCAGCCCGCTTCTTTCCGTACGCAGATATACCTAAACCCCCCTTCTTCCCGTACGTCCTCGCTGTCGATTTCTTGTCTTTGAATGCCGCGTGAACTGTTTCCCCAATGCCAGGATGGATTAAACCGCTATGATCCAGACCAACGCTTCTGCCAAAATTCTGCGAGAAAAACCAGCTCCTGAGGAGTCACTTGAGACAAAAGGAAACGCTTTGCACGTTGTTGCAAACCTGGAGTTTAATGCCGGGTACAAGGACAAAGTTGCTCTACAGCGCTTATTCTCCGCTAGCACGCTTTTCGTTATCATCCCCAGTGTCCTGCACGGATAGAGGTATCACACTTATCGCCAAACGGAGAGAAAAGAAAAAGATTGTAAAATCCCACCTTTGTTGACGAGCTCGAGCAATTCTCCTTCTCCTGGATCCGGAAGAGCGAGGCGTAGTACGTTGGATCATAGATCGAGCCACCGAGGATCTGGTCGCTTATGGACGTCTGTCTGGCGCTCCGGGGAGTGGAAACCGCTGGAGTAGCACCAGCAGCGGGCTGGACGAGGCTCTGGTAGTAACTAGCGAGACTATCCGTGGCGAGAGACGGTCCTAGCCGGTACATTTGCAGCCAAACCAGCGCCGAGAAGCTCCGGACCGTGAAGCCGATGATCTCCATCCATAGCGCGAGCTCCAGCGAGAAGATCGACAGCGTGCCAATTCGTGGAGATCGGCCGTAATGCCTGCACGTAGAGAAAACTCTTTAGAATCTTAGAATAAAGAAACTCTCGAGGAGAAACAAAACACTGTAAAGCACAAGCGTGACAACTCTCTTAGATTAAAGAACAACAACAAAAAAAAAAGAAAAAGGAGCAAAGCAAGAAGAAATAGCACGTAAGAAACTTACCTGATCTCGTAGGAGAAGAAAATAAACCAAAGTATGTCGAGAAGCAAGGCACACACTAGCAATGCGGCGTAAGCGCGGCCAAGGGTTTGACTCCCACTCTCAATCGCCACAAGAGCAAACAACGCGATCGCAAGATTTGCAAGCAAGACCCCCGTGTAGAGCGCGCCGAGGGAGCCGATCAGCGCACAGGACACCTGTGGCAGCAGAAGATCACAAGTGGATGAAATTGGGATGGATCTGAGCTGAAGTAAATGGATGGAAGGGAACAATAAATCACCTGGACATAGAGTAAAACCACCGCCAGCGACTGCACTCGATCGTAGTCCTGAATGCAGTCGATAAGCCAGCGCATAGCTCCGCGCAGGAGCCTCCCTCCCCAGAACCCTAGAAACCCATTTGGAAAGAAATGGCGATAAGACAAATAGCGAAGCTCCAGCCGTTCCGCTCAATGAATTATCAAGATTTTTCTGGCATATGAGAAAGATCCATCATGAGTGCTCATGTCGCCAATGCATCACCTAGATTCTTCTTTTCATTCTTCTGAGAGATTACTTATTTCATTTCACTATCACTGTGACAAATCAACATATATCTGGATGCTAAATCTCTCAAAAAAATTGTTCTTAGATATTCCAAAATTATTAATATTGAGAAAATGCGGAAACGGTTATAATATTTTATTTTTCTTGTTGGTAATGTAACAACATTAACAATTTTTTTATATACATTACTAACAAATATTATAAATTAAAGAGTTTAATAATTTCTAATATAAATATCTTTTAAATCTAATCTGGTGTACAAAATATAGCATATTTTGTTCTAAACTATAAATTTATATTTTAGCTCAAGTCATTATGTAGCAAAATAAAGCTTTATAGATGCAAGTGCTTCAAAACACAAATTTTAAATTAGGTTGTAATGGCTAAAAATATTGTGTAATTTTTATTAAGATTGTTTTGATGCTTTGTTTAAGAGTTACATGCATGGAAAGTGCTTTCCAAAGACCATACTCTAATCATCAAGTAAGAAATAAAAAAGTAATGCAAAAGTCTATATAAAATTATTTGGAGCAGTGAGAGAAAATTAAAATCCTAAAGCTACTTACACACCTAAAGTGTGTGTTTTTCAGCTCATATAGATGATGAAATCTTAATAAATTAAATTCACGTGATGAAAATTTAAAAATATAGTATATAAATATAATATATATAAATAAAAAATATATATAATGTATATTAGCAATAAGAAATCAAATTAATGTTAAATCTTGATTACCATTAATTTTAAGAGGAGAAAATCACAACCGTTAGATTAAAAATATCCTAAAATATTCCTGGATATTCTAAGCATTTCTGTTACACCAAAAATTATGTTATTAAATAATTTCAAATTTTTATACTATTAGAATTATTTTTATGGAAATTTTAATTTAACTAAATTTATTCTAATACTAAAAATATATAATCAGATTATAATCATTTTGAATCACTAAATATACAACTACATTTATTATCTGAATCCTTATTACATCCTTTAATTATTATTATTATTTTTGTAAAGTTGTAATTATTTTGTTAATTGATAAAAAAATTAGTTGATATAACCACTAATCAGAAAACTTGCAAATATATTATATTGATTATATTCACTATATTTCATTGTTGTAGTGAATTATTACCTTTAATAAAATAATAGATAAGCCTTTATAATAATAAATGAAGTTTAACATTCTTCTAAAATTTGGGTCGTGTGTGCCGCTAATAACACACAAAAACTCGAACTTCTATCAAACTACAGCAGCTATGATTGTATGGCTCTCCTCCTCCTTCTCGACATGCTTTCTTCTCCTTTGAGATCAGGTAAGTTTCTTACGTGCTTGCTCCATTTTCATTTTGTTCTTGAGTTGTCACGCTACTTCCGTACGTGCTTCACAGAGTTTTGTTTCTCCCCGAAAGTCTAAGATTCTGAAGAGTTCTCTGTGAGATTATCCATGGCACGAGACGGTCCTGGCCTGTACATTTGCAGCCAAACCAGCGCCAAGAAGCTCCGGACCGTAAAGCCGATGATCTCATCCATAGCGCGAGCTCCAGTGAGGAGATCGACAGCCTGCTAATTCGTGGAGATCGGCCGTCCAGTTACGACCAGAGACACGTCCAGCCCGCTGCTGCTACTTCCGTGGAGAGCACACCGGCTTCCACTCCCCGGAAGGCCAGACAGACTTCCTTCCACAAGCGACCAGAAATCCAACGTACTACTCCCCTCGCTCTTCCGGATCCAGGAGAAGGAGAATTGCTAGATCTCGTCAACAAAGGTGGGATTTTTCAATCTTTCTCTTTTCTCTCTGTTTGGCGATAAGTCTGATATCTCTATCCGTGCAGGACACTGGGGATGATAACGAAAAGCGTGCTGTCGGAGTATAAGCGCTGTAGAGCTACTTTGTCCTTGTACCCGGCATTAAACTCCAGGTTTGCAACAACGTGCAAAGGGACAAGAAATCGACAGCGGAGACGTACGTAAAGAAGTGGGCTTCCATTAGAAAGGATCAGCAGCTTGAATTTTGAGGCCTTTCTTGGGCTTTTTGTGGGTAACGAAGCGAAGCGATCATCTTTCTCAGTCGAACATTCTTGTCTCTGCATATATATGCAAAAGAGCGGCGTCAAAATCAGCCCGCAAAAGAGCCCAGCGATCAACTACCACATTGATTCACACTGTGCACGGCTCCGAGAAAAATGCATACGTTGATCATATTAATAGCCATCTTGCCGATGATCTGACTTGGGCGACATTCTTCCGATTGACTCGTCGACGGACGATCTCTTTGACGCTGTTCAGGACGGTATACTGATCTGGTGAGTGAGTTTCCTGTCATGTTTTCACGCTGAAAAATTCATCACTGCTATTGCAGCAAACTGATCAACGTTGCGGTTCCCGGAAGCATCGATGAGAGGGCACTCTGCGCAAAAAAAATTGACTGATCCTTGTTTCCGTCTATGCACTCCTGCTATTAAATAATAAAGGTAGATTTCATTTTGCAACCATTAAGTTTTAGCTTCATTGTTTCGTCAGATTATTGCTTTCCGGCATCCACTTGAAAGCACCAGAGCTCGCGGAGATGCTAAACGGTACAGAGATAATAAGAAAATGAACTGTGTGAAAACTCTTTAGTGTTTGGAGTTTGCAGGATATAGAAGAGCTTCTCGTCTTCCAGGTGAAATGGTTTTGTTGTGCAGAAGGCTGGTTTTTCCAGAGAACTTACTAACTTTTCGTCAGATCTTAAGGTAGAGAGTGAACTGAAATGACCAACTTGATGTTGTAGTACGATTTGTCTCCGCTACATCTCCAAGATCCATACATAGCGCAAAAGCAGTGCTTGCTCAGGCTGAGCGTGTCAACTGTCGACTTCACACCCAGAGACGTTCCGCTTTTTTGGCCTATCTCTTCCATGAAAGGTATTGAATTTCAGTCCCACCTCGCTGTTGATAAAACTTCTTCTTGTTCAGGAATGGTTTGACAGCCGACAACAGCCTCACTTACGCTGATTTAATTCAGGGTCATGAGCAAGACTCGAGTGGTGGTGGAGAACTGCAACCAAGTTTAAGAAGGTGGCTCGAAAGCTGAGGTTGGTTGCAGGAAGCGACATTGTTCAAGGCAATCGCAAGCTCATACTCGCTAAGCCTTTTTCTGTGTCGATGGCTGCTAAGCCGTTTACCTGCGTTTCTGTGGCAATTGGTGCGGTATCATACCCTCCAGATGCTGAAGAACATGGTGTCTGACTACGACATCTTGAAATGGGCCAACAACAAAGTGAAGCGATCAGGCTGCAGAGACAGCCGTATGGAGAGTTTCAAGGTAACAAAACGTTGCTGTGAACTAATGTTTGCAAGACACAAGTGGAACTGGAACTTCGAGGACAAGAGCTTATCATCTGGCATCTTCTTCCTCGGTCTTCTCTAGGCTGTAGAACCACGCGCTGTAAACTGGCAGCTCGTGACCAAAGGAGTAACAGGCAAGCAAACGAACTTAGTTCTGTTCAAATTAATCGATATAATCTTATGAATTGCAGATGACGAGAAGAAACAGAACGTGGTGTACGTGATCAGTGTGGTTGCAGCATGTTCTTGCTGTGGGATGACATTGTCAAGGTAGTTTTATTTTTCGTTTTTCCAGTGAGGGATTTCTTTGTTATTTGCTTTTGCAGGTGAGACCCAAGATGGTGATGATCTTGGTAGCCACCGTGATGCTGTGGAGTCTGGGCGAGAAGGCTAAAAAAGCTGCCAATATAGCTGCTGTTCTTGAGCACCACATCTCTTAATTTTTTTTTTTTTTTACAATCCTTCTTTACAAGGTCTATTAATTACAATTTTTTCATTGTAAAGAAGGATTCTCTGTAATACTCACGTTTCATGGTGCGTTTTTTCCTTTGGTTTCTCGCACGATCACACCCGGGCGAGTGTTTCAGCTCCAGAGTTCCTAGCGGCCTGCCACTGGGACAATGGTGCACCAAGCGCATTTTTCCTCCTAAACGAAGCAGCTAGACGTGACGCTCCATTGCATGAGTGGCCGACGAGGCAAGATTAGAAAAAAGAAATTTCTTGCCGATTGTTCTCTCTTTCAGATGAAGAGCTTGTCATTGATTCTAAAATTGCAAGGCTTGGTTTTGGGATTGACAGGGATGGACTTTGTATGTGGCGAGGCTATCCATGAAAGCCTGGTGATGTGAGTGGTGCATTGGTACAAGTTGGGAGATGTCTTAAACTCCCTGGTATGTTTCTTGTTATTCTTACTTTGAAACCTCTAGCACCAGAAAGACCACTGAACAGGGCAAACAAGAAGTGATTATAAACGCTCAGCTTATAATTACGTATGTACAGTCCAGTCCAGCATCTCACTCACCATCAGTGACGACAAACTCGTGTGAAAGCTCGACTGTCTCGCTGGTGCAATTGGCTTTGCGGTACATGTGGTTGCTTTTCGCATACCAGACGAAATGCATCTCGGCCTCGAGGCGCAGCTTGAACCGCAGCGGAAACTTGGACGCCATGCTTGTGGGCAGATGCCACACAGCGATGGGAAAGTCTTCCACACTGATACTTGTGCGCCCTCCTCGCAATGGCGGCTATATGGATCACGCCCAGATGAAAAAAAGAGTAAAAGCATGAATACCTCGAGAGATTTTGGTATGGATGGATTATACTTCTTCCCATTGTGATTCCAACGAAGGAGTTTCCACTCGAGCTCAGCTGTGTTCCCTGGAGCTCCAACAATGATTGACTCGTACTGCATTTTCTCTTGAAGTGATCGTCCCCAGGTTTTCTTTAACGTGACAGATAGTAGCCATAAATTAAGTTGAGCTCCAATCTCACCATTGCAGCTCGTGGTATGTGTGCTGGAATTGCCATCGCCATCGCGGAAATCGTAGATAACAATGTCAGAGCTCTCCATCTCGCCAAGCTGTGGCTCGATCCGGAGTTTGACGCGGTATGGGTAGAATCCCAGAGCCTTGGCGCTGATG